CTAATCTAGTCTCCCCAGTTGGCACGTTCTTCTACTAGCGCACCTCCCCGTGAGGTACACCTAGAAGATTACCTACGCGCCTCAGACTGTCCCTGACTAGACCCCCCTTGCTCTGGGCACACTTGCCAAGGCTTTGCTGGACCACTGGACAACTGGACCAGTCGTATCCCACACGCTGGACACCAATCAATGTGACAAACCCAGACCTACTGGGATAGGCCACAGTTTCACTCAGCTGCCACCAACCATTCCCTATAAGAAGTCACACAGACCAGGAATGGATTTTTAACAAATAAAGGAATAAGGTTTATTTACATAACACACAGGGAAAATAAAATGATCAAGTGGATAAGATACAGTAACGTGGCTTAGTCTCAATCATACATACACACAGTTTGGTTCACACAGAACACTTAACTTGAAGCACAGACCCTGAACCTATCAGTTCTGGCTAACCATACAGACACCTGAACCTATCAGGTTGGCACTGACTGACACACAGTAGTACCCTGTCTGACACACAGACTCCCACTCAAGCTTCTTCTCTCAGCTCTTCTCCAGCTTCTTACAGGCTTCTAAACTTCTCCACACAGGATCCCCATATATATACAGTACAGCCCCTCCTCCTGATGTCCCGCCTTCCACTCCCCATAGGATGGAACTTTCCCTCCAAACCCATGACAGACAGGTAACATCAGTGCTGTATGTAACACTTACCACCTCCCAAGGTTATTCATTCCATTCTCATACTACTCTAACAGTTAAGAGGTTTTTCCTGATGTACAGCCAACATCTGGTTTCCTGCCCATTGTTGTTCCTGGATTTATACCCCTTCTTTCTGAATTGAAAGATGCATGGATATTTCCTGGATTTATATTTTATCTTTCTCCCAGAATCAATGCCCCAGTGCCCAAATTAGATCACAACCTGATGATAATAGCAATAATAATAATAATTGAAGAAGAAATAGAGATAAAACATTATGATAATAAAACATGTGAAATTTATGTAAAGTCCAAAAGTAAAGTACTATTTATCGAAAACCTTGCTAAAAATTTCCAGAGCCTCTGGAAAAGACCATAATGCTGGGAAAGGTGGAAGGCAGCGGTAAATGAGGAAGACCGAATACGAGATAAGCAGACTCCTTAAAGGAAACCACAGGCTTGAGCCTGCAAGAGATGAGCAGGACTGTTGAGGATGGGGCATTTTGGAGATTCCTCATTCATAGGGTGGCCATAAAGTGATCAGCCATATCTTCTGAATGGGTTGCAAATATCATTCTGACAATGAATGGGGTGTGTCTATATAAAAGGGAGAGTCAGTCTCCAGAACCCCAGACGTTACTAGCTCATGGATTTGGGGAGTCGTAATCCCAAGAAGCCAATGTTCTGGACTCTGCACAGACCTTTTGTCCGAACCAGTCAGGGTTTCTCTTGACACTTGGCCTTTTTTGTGACAGTTTGATTTTGGCTCCTGGATGCCCAACTCTCCGGCTTCCATGAGAAAACCCCCTCCTACCACCAAGGGCCAGGCGAACGAAGACAACTACAGGGAGACGATCCCAGAAATCAACACCACATGCATCATCCTGAGCACCGTCTGGCTGCTCAGCGCCTATCCAGGAGACACGGTGAGTGCTTGGATCGTCGGCGCTTTCGGAGAGATGGTGACATGTCCCTGTGGAGGGATGGGAAGGCTCACTCACCCTTATGTCTTTCTCAGTGGATCAGGCCCTCTGGGCTATAGAATGAGGAGCAGCCATTGTTGCTTGGTGTGGTCTGGGACAGCCCAGTAGAAACACTCAGAGATCAGAACAGGAAAATCTTTAAACATTGATTGTGTGTTTTACTTAACTGGGAATGCAGAGATGAGCTTGCTGTGTTTTGTCCCTGGTCTCCAGGACAGAAGCAGGGGATTCTACAGACGTCAGGTTTCTCAAACACGAAAGACTGCCTCAGTCATGTCTCTCCAACACTAATGTTGTTTTAGTCTGTTCAACGCTCTGCAGTCTATATTTCCTCTCGTTCTTTCCTTCGTTTGAACAGATCCCCCTGGGGCGTTACCCTGACAAGCATTTCACAGAGGAAGCCCCCAAGAAATTGATTTTGGCCTTCCAGAAACGCCTGATGGAGATTTCCAAAGAAATTGGGAAGAGGAACGAAGTTCTGGTTCAGAAGGATAACCCCGTCCCTCTCCGCTACGAATATCTGTACCCCCCTATGGTGGAGAACAGTATCTCCATATAAACTACAGCAGAAATACAGAGTGTGGAAATAATGTATTCACCTTAAAATAATTAATTTTGTGTCCGCCGAAGGGAAA